TTTAATGTTAACAGGTGGACAATTAGTGATTCAATGTTTTTCAGTACAACTGATTCATTTTAGAGTTATTATTATTTCAAACCTTCAGACAGGCAAAAGTGTGTCGTTTGTTGTTTACTAAGCTAATTTAGTGTTGCACTCCCATATTTCAGTGGTGTAAAGTACATTACACAAGTACCATACTTAAAGGGGACCTAAAAATGCAAAAAAAACTTTTGTATGTCTTTTATACATGAATATGTGTCCCCGGTGTTCCAGGGAACTCACCAAGTGTCAGAAAATACAACCTTCTCTCTTTTCCTCCATACCACAATCTCTAAAAACGGGGCTGCAACGGATTTGATACTATGATGTCACAGAGGTGCAATCCGCCTATCAGGGGAATGAGAGGTTGCCGTGGCATGGCAACAGCATAGCAACAGCATAATAACATAACGCTTGTGCCTCGCTCGGGGGGGGGGGGTAAGCTAACAGCGAATACGCTCCAGCTCATGCAAAGACAGAGCTGGAGTGAGGCATGGCTAAAATGCATGATCTGTTTGGTATTTTGACAAATAAAACTTATAAATACAATGTATTATTCAAATATAGCATGATAGGTCCCCTTTAAGTAAATCTTTAGGCACGTGTGCATTACTTGAGTATTTTTTTCTGGGCCATATTGCACTTTTAATTCACTGTGTTTTTTTACTGCGTGCTATTTTATAGATTTAGACTTTTGAAACCAAAATATGAATAACCTTTGAAACATGATCTTTTTCAAATATGAAATATTTGTTTACATTTGTTTTTGTTAAAAGTTAGAGCTTTTTTCTGCACTAAGTACTTTTATTATATACTATAATATATTATTATAACACTTTATCAACTACTGCTTATGCTAGTAGCAGCTAAAGTAGCCTCAGGCCTCTAGCTTCAAGCAATGTATCAGACTTCACACAGCTCCCTGTAAATCCCCAAAAGGCTCTATACAACGTTTCAAAAGAAGACAAGAGGAGCTCCGACACCTTGCTTTGAAATGTGTGGCAATTAAACCGTGCTCACTGATCAGTAAATCTAGTCTCAGTTGTATTCTGTGTGAGATGCAACATACCCAGTTTGGGAAAGACGATGAGGTATTCAGCGTTGCATTGTGGGCAGGCCACACGTGCGGTGCTGTTCCCCCGCTGCTTCTCGTCCACCCATCGCTGCAGACAGGACTGGTGGACCCACTTGGTGGAGCCGCGGCAGCGACACGGGCGCACCCACTCTGCTGTGCGGTCGTCCTCGTCTGTGGCGAAGCACACCCAGCAGCTCCTGAAAACAGGTGGGATTAGGACAAGAGATAAAACAAATTGGTAGCATTAAACCCATTTTGCATATTTTTTCCTTTAAGTATTAACAAATAACTTATAATAACAGAGCACTTGTGTTCCAGTTGATAATGTGACTTTGAGAGGAGACGTGGCCAGGTTGGATACTTCTAAATGAAAGTGGTGTTATTGAGCGCTAGTCAAAGACAACCAAAGCACAGCTCCTGCCAACTGGCACAACACACAGGCATAAAGTCAGCTAGGAAACACATGTGACCGTATTGTCAGTGTTCCAGTAACAGGGAGCAGGTTTCTCTGCAATGTCACCCACAAGAACAAGATTTTGGAAAATAAATAATAATAAAAAGCAAATTAACTATTAAACTAGAACATTTTCTAAAAGTCTCATGGTGGGCCGTTACATATGTGACCTGCTCCATCGAAATCAGTCGCATTGACCCGAAGACACATTTTGATTTGTGTACACTGTTGGAAAGAGGAGATTCCTAGCTTTCTAATGATATCAGGATTGTTTTTGTTCTCCAAATATTAAGTAAAATATGTCACATTATATAATGACTGTCACAGAGTCATCATTTTGAGAAAAAGGCCTTCAAAGTATCCTCTTCTCTGGAATCCATCGATCTGATTGATTATTAGCGGCAAAAATGATCAAAATAGTACGGAGGGAAGATATTTTCGTTTAGATAACTGGTCTGGGGGAATCTTGTGAGTGTGTGTGTGTATACGTGTGTGTGTGTGTGTGTGTGTGTGTGTGTGTGTGTGTGTGTGTGTGTGTGTGTGTGTGTGTGAGAGTGTACAGCAGGGGTCATGAGACTCCTGCAGGTCATACGGACAGTGTGTGTGTGTGTGTGTGTGTGTGTGTGTGTGTGTGTGTGTCATTTTGCGTTTGTGTGTATTGTATTTGTTTCCCGGGGAAAACCCTCACGAGAAACACCGGCTGTTGTTATGCCTGCTGTGACGTTAAATTACTCCGTTCTCCGCTTGTAATTATGCCGTTACAAGCTTCAAAGTTGTATTTATCATCTGAATTTGCCGAAACAAGTTTAATATTCTGAAAGCCAAGACTTTGTTTAATTGAAATCAGATGAAAACAAACTGTAACGGACCCGGCCGTGTTATCTATGATTACTATACGCCTTACATTCATAATGTCAGCGGAGGGAGGGGAAGCAGCGCTGCGGAACAGCACAGCGGGTAGTGAGAGCTGTCATCTTCCCTTTACAAGCTTTAGAAATGTATTTATCGTGTGATTTTGGAAATAAAAGTTTCATATTCTGGAAGCCTAGACTTTGTTTATTTAAAATCAAACAAAATACCCGAACCCCGAAAAACTATTTCTTTACACAAATCCACGTTTAT